GTTCTACTTAGGAAGTTACTGCCTATGCCTGTAAGTTCCAGTGTATTCCCTACTCTTTCCTGCACTAGCTTCAATGTTTCAGGTCTTATATTAAGGTCTTTAATCCACTTTGAGTTGGTATTTGTACAGCTTCAGTGACATGGATCTAGTTTCAGATGCCTACATGCAGATATCTAATTTTTCCAGCAACATTTGCTGAAGAGGCTGTCTTTTCTCCATCCTGTTTTTCGTGACTTTGTGAAAAATCAGGTGGGTGTAACTGTGTGGATTCATATTTGGGCCTTCTATTCTGTTTCATTCCACCTCACACTTGTTGAAACCTCCTTGACACTCTTCATGCCTTATCAAAAGCCCCTGAACTCAGTGTGGCCCCTTGGGCCTTAGAAAATAGCCCCCAACTTACTTTCTATTAAGAGATCTGTCAGTGACTGGGGTAGTATCAGGGTTAGTTCAAAACTTCAAAGACAAAAAACAAAATTAAAAAAAAAAAACAAAACCTGTATTATTGACCATACCTTCTCAAACCAACTCATTCCAACTAGAGTCTCTTAAATATTATGTAACTAAGTTAAAATGGTATTTGTTTAGTTGTTTGTTTAAGCTATTTAAAAGCATCCTCAGATGATGAAAACTCAGGACACTAGAATCACTTAAAAAAACAAACACAACAAACATCAACAACAACAAAAAAAAACAGTGGCAAAGCTAAAAACACCTGAGCCATCAACTTAGGCTGATTTCCAGGTTAATGTGTAATATAACCAACAACAATAAAAATTTTTTTCTATGAGGCAAAAAAGTCAGGGACATACTGCTTAATTATGGACTACTTACTATACACTATATTCCTTACTTCACCAATAAAAGGTTTGAACACTCTAGGCTCCTAAATCGTTTCCATATGAATGCAGGGCATTCATTATATCCTTATTTAAACAAAGTAATTAACTTTAATTATTGTAAAAATTTAAACAGTACAAAAGCTTTTATATTGGCACAGGAAAAAAAATGGTATGTACAGAGCAATATCTTAAAGTACGATCATATAGTATCATAGTAAAAACAAATTTAAGATCCCAAAACAGTGGTTCTTCAACTTTAATCTGGAACGTTATTAATAATTAATTCCTGAGTTTCTAGCATTAGAAACTAGAACCAAACTAGGAAAACAGCAGCCTGGGCTGGGGTCCAGGAATTTGTCCTTTAATTCTATGTATAATATCAGAATTCAATTTAATTTTTGAGTTTATTTTTTGTAAGCTGTTCTGTTTTTATTTTTTCTTAGAGGTACTTTAAAGAAAAAATAGGGAATTTTTTACTAGTCAAATCTAGCTTACAAATATCAGTTTTGCTAGAACCTTTTATAAATCTAAGACAAACTACAGGGTCTTAGTAAACTTATTTTTCCCTACATCTTAAAACATTTTTGCTATTCTATCAAACTAGAACATTTTCATCATTGTTCAACAGTTACTTTCAACTATAGTTAAAAAAAAAGATAGAATAGAATTACTTGGAATAATGATGTAACAGTGAAATAAATCATCATATAATACATCATTCAGTTTTTATTGCCCAAAATAAGCTTCCTTCACAAAGGGCATAAAGTCTGGATTCCTTTTTTTTTTTTAAGCCATCACTGAGCATTCTAGAAAATTTAAATTTTTTCCTTTTTCAACTGCAGTGTCAGAGAAAAGAAAATCAAAGTAATAAGATGTTTACTGGACAAATCGAAAATGAGACAAGAAGACAAGTCACTGCACTCTAGACTTACAATGAAGAAATTATCAGATAACCAAAATCTCAGACTATCAGTCTTTCCATAATGATAGCCTGCTAATTTAAATTTCTCAAACTTTAGATTCATTGAGTAAGCAGTATTAATTCTAATATTAATTTCTAATTACCAAAAAAGTGAGTTTTTTTCATTCAACAGGAAAGACTATCAAGGCAGTATTTTGAGAAAAGACCCCAAACCACCCTGTTTTACTAAAAGGATATTACAATTTTCTTTCATCTTTTATATTTGTATGCCAAAATTTACTTGGTATGGTTTGTAGAGGCCAAATAAAGACAGGAATACAAAGGAAGGATTTGAAAGAAATAGTAGATTATTTTAAATTAATGACACATTATTTTAGTTGATTTTTAGAAACATAAATGAAAATTCTTTAAAGGAACAAAAATAGTCATTCTTTCTACAAAACTATAAGCCATTAATATTTATAAAAGCACTGCAGTTGTCCATGCACATGTAAAAATTAACATATAGTATATTTGAATATGGAATTAATATTATGTTTTGACACCATAAATGCAAAAACCAAAAGCAAGCATATGCTACAACATATCAGAGATGTATTTGAAATCTGGAACGATCTTTATAAGACAGGGCCATGCATTATTATTGATGAACAATTAACTGAATTCAAAGATACTGCCTATTTTACCTACATATACCTTCACTATCAGGAAAACTTGGAATAGTAAGGGTTTCTTGTGTAGAAATTATTCTTAAATTTTCTAATAAAGTTGTTTTTCACCATCTCTTCATTCTCACTTCTACAAATTATTCACAGAATGATCTAAAAATGTAAACAATAAAAATTGTTCATTGGACCTGTATGGTAAAATAGTGACAACCTTGCTTTAGTACGTTAAGGGTTAATAAGCATTCCAGGTGGTGATATGTGGTGTTAAGAAAGATACTTCAATAAAGTCCTTAACAGTCTGTCAGAGCAGTTTCTCAAACTTAGCCAATCATCAGATCAGAATTACTTGGGGCACTAGATAAAAATAGCTCCCAAGGCTGACACAAATTTCATGGAAGGACTTAGGAACTGCTCTTTTAATTACAATACCCAAGAAGATTATAAAGATAAACCACTGAGAAATAGGACCAAATGAAGTCTACTCCAGGCAGAATTACTTCTTACCCACAGGATCTCATTTTGAACCTATTGGACTAGAAAAATTAAAATTTGACAACAGTCTCCAACAGCAAGGCTTTAAGAAACATACATTACTAGTGGGAGTGTTAACTAGCACAATTTATGTGGAGAGTTTGCAGCATCTGCCAAAATTATAAATTCAGACACTCCCAGCAATATAACTTTGGGTCTTTAGTCTACAAATGTACTTTCACAGAAGAAGCAACATACATGAAAACTTACTCACTGTAACACTGACTGTAATAGCAAAAAACTTAAAACAAAGGAAAATGTTAAAACATCGTCACTAAATGGAAAAATAAAAGCTTGCTGTAGAGCAGTATGCTCCACAGCATAGCTAACATTTGCGTTGAAAGGAGGGAAATATTTTTTCACATCTGCCTTTACAGATGTAAAATATCTATCCCTGAGTGCGTACCTAAGAAACTTAAAATAGCCCGGCGGCCTCCCCAAGGGAATATGATAGGCTGGAGGTCACAATGTAAGACTTTACTGTATGTAGCAGATGGAAGGTTTAATACTGTATGTCTGCTTTACTGCTTACATTTTGAGCCACGTGGCTGCTTATCGCCTCAAAAACTAAATAAATTGCCAAAAATGTGGCAGCACTTGGAAAGAAATTAATAAATGCCAATGTAGTTATTACTAGATGTAGGAAGCAAAGTTGTTTGGAGGAGCCTCTTTTAACAATCTCTCATTTACTTCCTAAAAAACAGTACCTCAAATCTGACAAAAACAGGAAAAAATAATGGTTGAGTCATGCTCATTTCAAGCAACTGTTTAAAACGTGCATTTAACTGTTAATCATTAACAAATACTTCACCCTTTGTTGGTGGTGTTTACATCATTTCTTACGGCGCCAAATCCTAACTTAAAAATTAATGTTTCCAAAGTTAAATTTGGATTATAATGGAGTGACTATTTAGACCTTTTAGTCATCCCACTTCCTTATTTTTATTCTGTAGCACAAATCACTTGATCTGTAATATTTATGTACCATTTAAGTCACAAAAGTTTCCAGAACTAAGTTGGTTACAGGATGGAAAAACACATTTTTACTGTTTGCTCTCGACAAACTTAGTTTTAACTGATCATATTTATATTTTAAGATCAAAATAATTTAAAGGGCAGTCATTATTTTTCAGTGTCACTTTCCTTTGAAATCAATTGTTCTCTCTGAAACAAATGGATGTTAAGAATTTGGCAAACCCAATGTCCTTCCGAAGTGCTGCACTTCACGGAACAAAAAGCAGTACTTTGAGTATGCGATTCAAACTAGATAATCCCACAAACTCCCTTTGAAAAACTGGCACATTCGCAAGCCTAAAATTCCTTAATTCCTCTCGGGTGAATCGAACCATTTCCACATCCATCTCCCCACTCCTCCCCACACCCCCCACCCTTTCCCGTTATTAGAAAGAAATCCTGAAATGAAAGCCATGAGTCACCAGATCTCAAGGGATACATACTTCCTTCTGCACACACCCTACTGGAAACATTCGTCCTCTGGCTGCGAGTTCTCCACAAACACGCGCCCCTCCCCAACCCCAGAAGTCCAGGCTTCGCCCTCTGATCAAACACCGCCTTCCTCCTCCGGGTCCCGGACCTTCCCCGGAGCCACCGAGGGAGATTAAGGACGGCCAAGGAGCGCGGGGCTCTTTCTCAGGCCGTTCCGGGAGACCTCGTCCAGGAGGAACAAGGAAGAGGCGGGTCCGGGTGTCCAAGCCTAGCGGAGCCAACCGCGTCGCCCCGGGCCTGGCCTCGGGGCTCTGCCCACCCCCCCACCCAGTCCGAGGGGGACCCCCAAACCCGCAGAGTCCCGGGCAGGCAGAGCGCACCGCTCGGGAGAACTTTCCCGTCGCCCGGCTGAACGCACGGAGGGGCGTGGAGCCCTGTGAGAAGGGGGGGGCGTCGCTGCCACCCGAAAACCGTTGTGACCCTGGCGCTCTCCGTTAAGTAGCTCGGAGCCCCAGGTCCCGCGTTTCCGCGCCTCGTTCTCAAGTCCCGCACGTAGAACGGTTGCCCCTCGTTCTTCTCAGAGAAGCTCACCTCAGCCCAAGGATCCGCTCGTCGCTGCCGGTACAGATCACTAACACCGACTTCCTAGACCCAAGGGTAGAAGAGCGGCGCGCTCCCGAGGACTGCCCGCGAGGCGCGTCACGGCGCCGTCCCCGTCTTCCGCCCGCGCAGGCGCGCGCCCAGTCAGCTGATCCCGTCCCCATGGTAACGTGGGGCAAGGATGGGGCGGGGCGTGGGGTCGTCCTACTGCTCAGAGCCTGAGCCGAGCAGTCTTCTAAGCTGGCTGTCCCCACGCAGTGCTGCGTGGCAGTTCTGCGCGCCACCTTACCCAAGACCGCCGTGTCACTGAGTCACTGATGTGTGTATTTCCGCCTGTGGTCACTTGGTTCCTGTAACCTTCAGCGCAAAGAAGTCTCAAGAACCCAAGCTTTCCTCTGGCGATTTCCTCTCCCAGAGTTTGCCTTCCACCCCCGCCATACTACTGTCACTGTCTTCTTGCTTTACCTCTTCACCAGAAGCTCAGAATATTCATCGTGCTACCCCTTCTCAGCTCCTGCCCTGATTTTTCTCTTATAATTTTTTCCTTTGGCTTTTATTACTCTTTGTTCACCTGGTTCATTGACCGTTGAGGTTTATATATGGCATTATACAAAAAGAATAGTTGTATCCTAATATTAAAATATAGACTAGAATTTCTTGAGGGTTAATTATGTGTCAGGCACCGTTACAAGAACTGAATGAATACACTCTTATTTGATCTTTACATCCATCTGTTAGATACAATATCCCATTACAAAGAAAATTGAATATTACCTGAGAGAATTCCTAGCGGTCCTGGAATACTATAGCGCCCTTGCCAAAAATAGCATTAACATACATATTTATAGCTAAATTTCTTAGTGACACAATAACATAATTTGTGATAAAATCAGTAAAAATGTGAGCATAAAAAACATGACAGAGGATGGAAACTTTGTCCTCAAGGAGTTTATGACTTAGCTGATGAAATAGACATTTAAAAATAATCACATGACCGAAAAGAAAGAAATAAAACTTTCTATTCTCAGATGACATGGTTTTCTATGTTAAAAAAAAAATCCTCGAGTTGATAAATAAACAAAATAAGCAATTATAGCAAGGTTGCAAGATACAAGGTTAATACACAAGTCAATTATTTTCCTATACACCAGAAGCAAACAATTGGAATTTGAAATTAAAGACACAATACCACTTACATTAGCTCCAAAATAAAATGAAATACTAAGCTATATCTCTAATAGATTGTGTGTAATATATATGTGGGGAAATCCACAAAATTCTGAAAAATAAAACCAATGATCTAAGTAAGTTGAAAGATATCCATGTTCATATATACGAAGACTCAACATTTTGGGTTTTTTTTTTTTTTTTGGCAGTGTATTGAGGTTTAAACTCAGGGCTTCACCCTTGCTAGGCAGGTGCTTTACCATCTGAACCTGGCCCCTGCCTTTCAATATTACTAAAATGTCAGTTATTCCCAACTTAATCTATAGATTTGATGCAACCTCAATCAAAATCCTACAAAGTCATTTTGTGGATATCAACAAACTGATTCTAAACTTTACATGGAAAAACAAAAGATCTAAAGAAGAGAAGCAAAATATGAGGCCTGACAGAAACTGTTTAGTTTGGCTGTTAGATCAAATTACCAAGGGTCAGTTGGTTTAAACAACAGAAATTTAGCTCTCACTTCTGGAAGTTGAGACCAAGGTGCCTGAAGATCTGGGGTCTAGTGATGACCCACTTCCTAATTTGCAGGTGAACATCTTCCTATTGCATCCTCACATGGTTGAGAAGAGAAAACGTAGGGAGAAGGAAAGAAAGTATGTTCTCTTCTGTCAGTTCTTATAAGGGCACTAATCCCAGAATGAGGCTCCACCCTCATTACAGAATTATGTCCCAAAGGCCCCATCTCCAAATACCATCACACTGTGGAATGGGCTTCAACTTATGAATTATGGGAGAAGGACACAAATATTCTGTCCATCTCAAAACTTACTATAAAGCTATAATAATTGAGAGGTGGTTTTGGGAAAAGAATAGACATATACATCAGTGGAATACAATACAAAGCCAAGAAATAGACCCAACAAATACATTCAACGCATTTTTGACAAAGGAACAAGGGCATACTACACCCCATCCCTTAAGCGCATTTCTAAGGAGAGAAGTCAGTCTCGTCTCCTTTCCATATGTTAAAGCAAAATTATAGAGATGACAAAAAGATCAGGAGTTGGGGAAGATGGATAGGGATAAGCAGGTAAAGCATCAGATTGTTAGCCATTTTGTATGATACTGTAATGGTGGGTGCCTGATATTATGCATTTGTCAAAAACCATAGGATAGAATGTTGTATAAGAAATAGTTTTTCATACACACACACACGTAAGTTGTTCCCAGATCCTATCTAGGGTAGAACTTCAAAAATCTTGTAGTTCTTGAGTGATAACATCTTTGCCATGTGATGAGACTGTTAATTGCAGGGAAGTGAGATACACAGGGCTGGAGAAAACTTCAAGATGGAGGCTAGTCACCAGAAACACCAAGCATGTGATTAGGACTGGAACTTTCAGCCCTAATTGCTATCTCCAAAGAGGGACCACTGAAGTTTGGGTTTATATACTTGGCCAATGATTTAATCAACTGTGTTTGTATAATGAAACCCCATATTAAAAAAAACAAAACACCTCTAGACACCAGAGTCCCAAGGGACTTCCTGATTGATGGATGCATCTGTGTACCAGAGAGAGCAGGGCTGGGGCCATCCAACTCCACTGCACAGCAACAAAGGCTCTTGCACTTGGGACCCTTCAGACCTTGCCTTATGTACCCTTTTATCTGTTCACTTGTATCCTTTATAATAAAAATCATAAGAACAGTTCTTTCAATGAGTTCTAGTTAGTCAATCTAGTTAATTATTGAACCTAAAGCGAGTTTGTGGGAGCTCTCTTATTTGTAGCCAAGTTGGACAGTCATGTGAGCAGCATGAGGAAGTTAAGGCAATTTTGTTGGAGACCTTGCCCTTTAGTTTTGGAATCTGATGTGAAATCTGGGTAGTTGTGTAAGAACTGAGTTCTAGAATATTCAGTTGGTGTCAAAGAGCTGTTGCTAAAGATAGTAAAATATTAAAAGAAATAATTACAGTTACAATGGATGTTTGAAGAAAATATCAGGGAATTATCAAAATATATTACAAGAGAATCAATATTAGTCTAAGAGTTTAAAAATGCTTTCTTTTCTTGGCAGTACTAGGGTTTGAACTCAGAGCCTCATGCTTGCTAGGTAGGCACTCTGCCTCTTGAGCCACTCCATCAGCCCTGTTTTGTGTTGGCTATTTAGGAGATAGAGTCTTGCAAAATATTTGCCCAGCCTGCCTTAGAGCCACAATCCTCCTGATCTCTGTCTCCTGAGTAGCTAGGATTACAGACATGAGTCACTGGCACCCAGCCAAAGAATACTTTCTTGTAGTTGTGGTTTTTAGGCCAAAGGGTAGGAATTAGTCAAAGTAATAACAAATGCAAGAACATTAGAGGTTAATTGAACGTTGATGCATTCCGGGGGCTGGATGGCTACTGTGGCTAGAACACTAAGGTAAGAGATGGAATGACTTAAGATGAAGCTAGAGAACTAGGAAGGACTGTCCTACTGAGGAAAAAAAAGTAACATGATTGGATTGCATTTAAAATTATTGCTCTGGTTATTACTTGGAAGATGGATTGAATGTAAAAATAAGTCTGTGCTGTGGCTTAGATATGGTCTATCCCCCAAAGATTTAATAGTGGTTCCTAATACTGTGGTATTAAGAGGTGGTGAAGCCTTTAAGAGGTGGGGCTTAGTTAAAGGTGTTTAGGTCATTGTTGGCATTGCCTTATGAAGAGATGAATGTTGGTCATGTGGTATTAGATCTCATAAGAGCAAGTTGATATTAAAAAGTAAGCCCCTCAGTCTGTCTCTGCCTTCCTGACTTGCCATGTGATCTCCTACTTCTGCACTCAGGAGTTCCCTTTCCATTTCTAGATCATGTTGAGATCCAGCCAAATGGAGTTTCACCAGATGCTGGATAGGGCCATCTGATCTTGGGCATTCAGCCTCCAAAATTGAGCTAAATAAAGCTCTTTATTTTCTTATAGCAACACAAAACTGGACTATAAAGACTGCGATATGAGGAAACATACTAAGAGACAAGTAGTCCTGATGTGTCAGTTACCATGGAGCTTGAGAAAATCAGAAATTTAAACATTAGGAGAAAGCATTAGTAGGTCTTAGCGGCTGGTCAGATAGGAATCACAGGGAGGTATTTAGATGAGCAGATTTTGGCACATTTGCTGAGGACTAGTGCATAAAGATGAGCAAATATAGGAGATAAGAATGTGAACTGGTATGTGCACTTCCAGTTGTGGCAGATTTATAATGGCCCCTGAAAATGTCTGCATTCTAATGCCCCAAACTATAAATATGTTAGGTTACATTCATAAAAACATTTCTACAACAAGAAAAAGGCAGAGGGTCACAGGGTTCCCATAACACAGGGGCACAATAGAGAGGCAAAAGAGCTGCAAAGTATTTTCCAAGGGACAGCCTAGGATGGCGATTATACAGGAGGCTTGGAAAGCAGAAATCCAGGTTGGAATTGAATGATAGATGGTTCTAGGAGGAATGTCTCCAAGAAAAGTACTAGGTTTGAACATACCGAGGGATTCCTTTTTCTGGTAAAAAGTAGGAAGATTAATTAATTATGAGAACTTCTAATACAAGACAGTAAAAACAAAAGGCATATTAATGAAGAAAAGAAATTTAATCAAGTGGGTATGATAGTGTATGCCTGTAATTCCCCCACTCAGGCGGGTAATGCAGCAGGCAGGGTCATGAGTTCAAAGCCAGTCTAGAGTCATCTTAGAATAATATTTATATAAACATAAGATTAACATGTAAGTTCAGGCCCAAACACTCATGTGATCATGAGTTAGCTACAGATATTAATTTAGTTTTTTTCCAGAACATTTTTCTTTCTTTAGGATTTTTAGTAGTACAATTAAAAATAAATCTACAAACATAAATGAATAATAATCATGGTGAGGTATGACTAACCAAAGATAATAGTGCTTATAAAAATACCTATAATATTTCACGCCCT